CCTTCCCCTACTCACAGTGTGAGTGAAACGTGGAAGATTTCGTGAAGTGAAGATATGGAACGCGAAGGGAAACGTGAAAGATTTTGTGAAGTGAAGATGTGGAACGCGAAGGGAAACGTGAAAGATTTAGTGAAGTGTGGGCGTGGGGGAAACTAGTAGAATTTATGAAGATTGACATTGGTGAGGAAGAAAATGTGAAACTTTGTGAGATTTTGTGCAGAATGTGAAATTTTGCGAGGGTGTGTAGAGAGTTAGTGTGGAGTTAGTGTAGATAACGATGGTTGTGTTGCGCGCACAAAGAGTAGGAAACTCCGAAAATGGAAGTATCCACTCAACAAGTTTGTTTTATTTTCTTGCTATTTTTGTCACAATTGATTTTTCAAAAATGTGTTTTTAAAGTTTTAATTTCAATTTGATGATTTTCAAGAGAAATTTGTTTTTTTTACAATTATCTTTAATTTGTGTTTTATTTGAAAATTTTATTTGAAAATTTGTTAAAATTTGTTGTTTCATTCTTTGTTCATTAGAACTCCGCGGCTTTCATCCATCGCACAAAATGGGAATTGACAAAAAGACATAACATGAGAGAAATTTTCATTAATCTGCTTCAATAAGGATGCAACAGATCAAACATAGGCTAATGCCTCAAAAAGAGTACATCATGTAATATGCGCTGTAATGCATTGAGAGTCTTCTCAAGATATGAGTACATCATAGACTGATTACGTCAAATACATGTCATGCTTGTTAAAAGAAAGCAAGTGAATCCTCTGCGCTTGGTATATCGAGCTCTTGTGATCAAGCAGACCTTCATGCTCTTGCTCTAGGATTAGAGTTCCCTTCGCATGTATTTAGAGGTACAACCTTCTCGTAGCTCGTAAGGAAACAGTTCTTCCAATTCCGGGTCTTGCTGGAATCCATACGGTATCTTACTGTCATCCATTCTGCGGAAGGTCACAAACACCCTACGGTGTCGTACTCCTAGAATGCAGTGCTTGGCAACGTCTGCATCGTTGCCCTTGAGAACAAGTACCGAACCAACTGGAAGAGGAATTTCCACAGCTCCTCTGAATTCACCAGGGCCGATTACGTCGATTTCTTTTCCAAACAAAATATTTCTCTTACTCATGAATGAGACCATGCAGAAAGGCCTCACAAAGTCATGATGGTCAATGTGCGGAGGAATGTAGTAACCTTCTTTGCACCTTCTTCGTAAATGTTGATGATGCAACTGTTAGGAATGCAAGTGGAGGGTAGGATATTCTACTTGACCATTCTCTTTATCATCCACTTGATCATCGATGGTAACGGATCCACTTGGTTGTTTCTGAGTATCCTAGGCGGATTCCTCTGTCTGTCGTTTGTAAAATTCTAGCAACATCCACACTGGGTGGTGATTCTTCCTTTTCCC